GGGAGCTGGGTGGAAGGCCACTCAGGTTCCGCCGGGCTGGGGCTTGGATCTCACCCTCTTCGCGAGGTGCTGGGTTCTCGCAGGTGTGGATGTTGTCTGGATGTTGTCCTGTGTCCTCTGGTCTCTATTCTAGGAAGAGTTGTCTTTGTTATATTTTCATAAATATACGTGGGTTTGGGAGGAGATTGCTGCTGCTCTACTCACACCGCCATCTTGGCTCCACCCTCAAGCACAGACTTTTAAAAGCAGCTAGAGATAGAGTAAAGATCACATACAAAGGAAAACCCATCAGACTTCTCAACAGAAACCTTACAGGCCAGAAGGGAGTGGCACGATCTATTTAATGCAATGAAACAGAAGGGCCTCGAACTAAGAATACTCTAACCATCAAGATTATCATATAAATTTGAAGGAGGGATTAAACAATTTCCAGATAAGCAAAAGCTGAGAGAATTTACTTCCCACAAACCATCGCTATAGTGTATTTTGAAGGGACTGCTATAGATGGAAGTGTTCCTAAGGCTCAATAGCTGTCACCAGAGAAAATAAATCCACAGTAAAGGAAGATGACCAATTAATTACTAAGCAAATTCTAAATTAAATCAACTACTACAAGTCAGTCAAGGTATACTCAAAATAGTACAGAATATGACATCTAATCTATAAAGAGTGAAGGAGGAAGAAAAAGAAGGGAGGTAAAAAAAGAATCTTTAGATTGTGTTTAAAATAGCATAATAAGCAAGTTAAGTAAGACTGTTAGATAGTAAAGAAGCTGCCCTTGAACCTTTGGTAACCATGAATCTGAAGTCTGCAATGGCAATAAGTACATATCTATTGATAATCACCCTAAATCTAAGTAGACTGAATGTACCAATCAAAAGCACACAGATGAAAAATGGATAAAAAAACAGAATCCATCTATATGCTGCCTACAAGAGACTCATTTTAGCCCCAAATACATACATAAACTAAAAGTGAAGGGATGGAAAAATATATTTCATGCAAATAATATGGAGAAAAAAGCTTGAGTTACAGTGCTTGTATCAGACAAAATAGACTTCAAAACAAAGATAGTAATAAGAAACAAGGAATGGCATTACTTAATGATAAAGGGGTCAGACCAAGTAGAGGATATAACCATTATGAATATGCACCCAACATAGGAGTACCTACATATGTAAAACAACTACTAACAGAATTAAAGGGGGAAATAGAATGCAATGCATTTATCTTAGGAGACTTCAACACACCACTCACTCCAAAGGACAGATCAACCAGACAGAAAATAAGTAAAGAGACAGAGACACTGAACAACGTATTAGAACAGATGGAGCTGGGAGACATCTATAGAACACCCCACCCAAGAGCAACAGGATACACATTCTTCTCTTGTGCACATGGAACATTTTCCAGAATAGGCCACAAAAAGAGCCTCAGTAAATTCAAAAAGATTGAAATTATACCAGCCAACTTCTCAGATCACAAAGGTATGAAAATAGAAATAAACTGTGCAAAGAAAACAAAAAGGCTCACAAACACATGGAGGCTTAACAACATGCTCATAAATGATCAGTGGATCAATGACCAAATTAAAACGGAGATCAAGCAATATATGGAGACAAATGAAAACAACTCAAGACCTCAAAATCTGTTGATGCAGTGAAGGCAGTTCTAAGAGGAAAGTATATAACAATACAGGCCTACCTCAAGAAAGAAGAGTAATCCCAAATGAATAGTCTAAACTCACAATTAACAAAATTAGAAAAAGAAGAAGAAATGAGGCCCAAAGTCAGTAGAAGGAGGGACATAATAAAGATGAGAGCAGAAATAAATAATTTTGAGAAGAATAAAACAATAGAAAGATCCAATGAAAGCAGGAGCCAGTTCTTCAAGAAAATAAACAAAATAGATAAACCCCTAGCCAGACTTCCCAAGAAAAAAAGAGAGTGTACAGACATAAACAGAATCAGAAATGAGAAAGGGAAAATCACTACAGACACCACAGAAATACAAAGAATTATCAGAGATTACTATGAAAAATTATATGCTAACAAATTGGATAACCTAGAAGAAATGGACAACTTACTAGGAAAATACAACCTTCCAAGACTGACCCAGGAAGAAATAGAAAATCTGAACAGACATATTACCAGCAAGGAAATTGAATTGGTATTCAAAAAACTACCTAAGAATAAAAGGTGAGATATCACCTCACACCAGTTAGGATGGCCAACATGGAAAAGACAAGGAAGAACAAATGCTGGCGAGGATGCAGAGAAAGAGGAACCCTCCTACACTGCTGGTGGGAATGTAAACTAGTTCAACCATTGTGGAAAGCAATATGGAGTTTCCTCAAAAAAGTAAAAATAGGAATACCATTTGACCAGGGAATTCCATTCCTAGGAATTTACCCAAGGAAAGCAAGATCTCAGATTCAAAAAGACATATGCAACCCTATGTTTATTGCAGCACTATTTACAATAGCAAAGATATGGAAGCCACCTAAGTGTCCATCAATAGATGAATGGGTAAAGAAGAGGTGGTACATATGCACAATGGAATATTATTCAGCCATGAGAAGAAAACAAATCCTGCCATTTGCAACAGCATGGATGGAGCTAGATGGTATTATGCTCAGTGAAATAAGCCAGGCAGAGAAAGACATGTACCAAATCATTTGTAGAGTATAACAACAAAGCAAAACTGAAGGAACAAAACAGCAGCAGACTCACAGACTCCAGGAAGGGACTAGTGGTTACCAAATTGGAGGGTTGAGGGAGGGTGGGTGGGGAGAAGGGGCTTGAGGGGTATTATAATTGGTACACATGGTGTGTTGGGCTCACGGGAAAGACAGTGTATCACAGAGAAGACAAGTAGTGACTCTGTGACATCTTACTATACTGATGTACAATGATTGCAATGGATTCTGGAGGGGACTTGATAATATAGGTGACTGTAGTAACCTCAGTGTTTTTCATGTGAAACCTTCATAAGAGTGTATATCAATAATACCTTAATAAAAAAGAAATGGGCAGAACATCTGAATAGACATTTTTCCAAAGAATACATACAGATGGCCAACAGGCATGTGAAAACATTCTCAACCTTACTAATCATCAGGGAAATGTAAATAAAAAATACAGTGAGATACCACCTCACACTTCACAGCTGCTAAAATGGCTGTTATCAAAAAAGACAAGAAATAACAAGTCTTGGTGGGGATGTGGAGAAGACACAGGATGCACTATTAGTAGGAAAGTAAATTGGTACAGCCATGATAGAAAACAGTATGAAGTTTCCTCAAAAAATTAACCATGGAACTACCATGTGATCCAGGAATCCCATTTCTGGGTATACATCCAAAGGAAGTGAAATTACTCTGAGAGATAGCTGTACTCCCATGTGCACTGCAGTATTGTTCACAATAGCCAGACATGAAAGCAACCTAAGTCTGTTGACAGATGAATGGATAAAAACAGTGTGGCAAATATATTATATTGGTATATCACTCAGCCATAAAAAAGAAAGAAATCTGTCATCTGTGACAGTGTGGATGGACCTTGAGGGCATTATGCTAAGAGAAGTCAGAGAAGGACAAATACTGTATGATCTCACTTACATGTGGAATAGATGTATAACGAAAAGCTACCCTCAGAGAGTAGAATGGCAGTTTCCAGGGGCTTAGAGGTGGGGACACAGGGAGATATTGGTCAGCTGGTACAAATTTCCAGTTATAGGATGAGTAAGTTCTGGGGATCTAGTGCACAGCATGATGACTATAGTGAACAATACTGCATTGCACACTTGGCAATTGCTAAAGTAATAGATCTTAATGTTCTCACCACAAAAAATATAATCATATGAAATTATGAAGTAATACATGTGTTAACTGACCTTGTTTTGGTAATCATTTTGCAGTATGTGCTTAAATCAAGTCTTCATGTTGTACATCATAAACATACACATGTTATATGTTAGTTAAATCTCAGTAAAGCGTGGAAAAAATAATTACTCAAAATTCCCTCCATACCTTAATCATTGACCTCATTTTCTGTATTCCCTTAGTATTCTTATATATACCTTTGTATTCGAGGTAGAGTCAAAACACAGCTTATGTTTTATGTGTATATGTTTTAAGATGATCATTTCATATAAACTTCCCTAGGGTCACATGGGCATGTTTGTCATTCTTTGGCAATAATATTCTGTTGTCGTTATATACGCATATAAATGTTTACACATACATGACTTTTCCCTCTTACTCACATTCCTTAAAGCCCCAGTAGGGGTATATTTAGCTTTATTACCCTAATTTCATTCAGCTCTGTGTGGAAGAATTTTACCAGTTCCCAGTGCTACCAAAAATATAAGGTAAATTGTGTCCTCCATAACTTAGTGACATTATTTTATCATATTTTCTTCTTTTTTTGAATTTGGATACAAACAGCAACTTATATTTTCTTTATGTGTACTTCTTATCTTTACTATTCTTAGGAATTTATTGCAAGATATTAAATACAAATACTTTTTGTTTTTAGTAATATGAAGTTTTTCAATTTCTAAGTTTTCAAGTAATGCAGTAAATATTACTCATACTATTCTAAAATACTCTCTTTTCTTTTCCTTATCTAGATGTTTATTTGACCTAAGTTTTAATCACTTATTTGTATGATGGGCTAATATGAAATGTTGAAAAGATCTGCAATGTATTGAAGAATGTATAAAAAAGTCACATAACTTGTTTTTCATATTTATTTTAATTCCTTTTAGTTAAACATATTTATTTGAAGATAAAATTATAGTTTATATAGTTTAGGAGGAGGGTGGTGACACAAAATATAGGAGAATTGGAAGAAACTGTCATAATGATGTATCTAGACAAAATATAAATTAGTTTATGAGCAGTTTTCACTGTTAACAATCTGTTAAATCTGAATACACTGTGGCTATTATTGCTATAGAAAAGATACTGATAATTACCTCGTGTTTTATCTTGGCAGATGGTGTATTGTTCTCTGACGGACTTTCAAAAAGCTGTCTATCAAACAGTATTAGAAACAGAAGACGTGACTTTAATCCTTCAGTCTTCTCAGCCTTGTACATGCAGCAGTGGCCGGAAAAGGAGAAATTGTTGTTATAAGGTAAGCTTCCCAGTATTACATCTTTACTATCCTGCCTCTGGTTACTTAGTACTCTATTCCAGTTTCAGAGTAAGTACTGGATGCAATAACTTTTCCCTCAACAGTTCTTTAACTTTGGAAGCCTTTTAATAAAAAGGAGTAGTTTTAAGAAATAATTTTCAATATCAGATAGTAATCACAGCAAAATATAATATTGAAATATCTTTTCAAAAAACTAGTTTTTGAAAGTAGCTTCAGTTTGGTATCTCCCTTTCAGTTTTAACTGGGAAGTATCCTACTTTCATCTAGAAATTTCATTTCATTTTCAGGAAGTTCCTAATTTTCCACTAATGGTAAACTTACTTACTGTTTGATAGCAGGCTTTAAATATTATTCTGATGTGAGACAGTATTAACAGAAAGTGTGTATCAGTACAATAAAGTAAGTACTTTATTTTTATCTAGAAACAGATATTAATTTGTAGCTTTTTATTTAACTTCTAGCTATATTTCCTTCTCCTACCTCTCTATTTTACTATCAAGTTGTAAGTCACATATCTACATACATAGAGGGATCCTAAATAAATATTTCTCTAGGTTGATATTTATTCCACCTCTCATTTATTTTTCTGTTTTTAACTACTTCACTTTTTTATAATAGTACAGTTTCCTGGGAAATCTCGGCATGTAAATGAGAGTTACGGGGGTCCTTATGACATGACACCATACCATGGTTTTATTACCAGGAATCTCTTTCAGCAGCATTTTCTGTCTCTGTGTTATCATGAGGATACATACTTTCTGGATGAGGACTTTCTCCCTCTTTTATTAAAAACATCACTATTTTGATTCACCAAAACTATAATTCCATGTTAGTGATTCATGGATATTTTGGGTAACAGTTGACCGTCATATTCTCAGAATGTATTGTGCCAATAGTAACCAGATAATAAATATTATTGTCAGTGATATATTTTGTGATATAAGTAGTTACATAGCCATTTTTGTCCCTTGCTTGTTTTATTTTCAGTGTTTTTCTGGTTACAGACTAATTCCCATGGTGAAACAGTGAAAACCCTGTATTTCAGTTACCTTGCCGTCCTTCAGAAGGTAGCGAACCACGTCGCTCTGCTGCAGGCTGCCGGCTCGTCCAAACAGCAGGTCTGTGCTGGCTGTTTGAATTGCTTTGTGGTGCTATTTGGTATAAGTATTTTATATTTGGCATAAAATGTCTTAGCCAAATATCCTTATGGTATGTTTGTGTGAGATTTAAGAGGAAACTGACTGGCTTGTTTTTTAATTGAGGTATCAAAGAAGTATATGCACTTAATTTTTTTAGTCAAAATGAGAAACTTAAGCTTAAATTAAAATAACTTATTTATGCCTCAGATAATGTTCAAATATTTATTTTCCTAACATCTTTTGCTGTAATTACTAAGTGAGATATTTGACAAGTCAATCTCATGTCTACTAATAATGTGTCTGATTGCATTTATCTAATCTGCTGGATTAAAATAAGGATTTATAATAATCTGTATATTAAATATTAGGAGTGTTTCCCAAAATGACAAAAATCTGTAATTTCAAAGTTGAGGCATAACATGATCATTTATTTTGGTCATTTCAATTGTGTTTTATTCTGGAGCACAACATACATGAAAAAGAACATCTTTAAAGCTTTTTTATTCTATATTTTTGTGTAATAATCTGATGCTGTTTAAATGTAATTTTTAAATCTAATAAGAATTTAATATTGTTCTTCAATTGTACTATTTGCTCTTTGGGAAGCGTTCATTTCCTTGTTTGGGAAGTTTTTAAAGACATAATGATAAAATCTGTAGCCATATCATTACTGTAGAACTCATCAAACCCATATGTGAACGTCATTTTAAGGTCTTCTGTATTATTAATCTGATTATTAGTCTGGCATAGAGGAGGTAAAATTCTCAAAGTAGTAACATTCCTTCTAAAAAGAATTTTTTCATAAACAATCTCAATTCATAGATGTTTAAATGTGTTAAGTTGAAATTTCTTTTCTTCTACCTTTTTCCCTTAAGGAAACAATTATTAAAAGGATATGTGATCAGGTATTTTCCAGATTCCCAGATTTTGTGCAGAAAAGTAAAGATGCAACCTTTGAAACACTTTCTGACCCCAAATACAGTGGAAAAATGAAAGTAAGTGCTCTTCTTTCAGGTTGCATACACACAAGGATGATACACAAAATATTTATCAGGTAGGATGGGGCACCAGCTAACCAGAACAGATGCCTGATCATTCGGAAGAGATGGCAGCACCAACAGCTGGCAGAATTGTACTAGCATTTAGTAGCTGTGTGTGCTGCGACAGCAGGTTCTCAATTAGCAGTCGTTAAAGCAAACGTTCCTCAGCGTTTCCTTATTAGTGTACTAGATACATGCCATCTTAACATGCCCTAATAACAAATGTATGCTGTTACCACATATGTAATAGCTTGCCTGCAAACGTTTAAGGAGATCATCAGCAGACGTATAAATGCTACTGCCAGGTAGAAGGGTGAGGACAGGCTGTAGCTTAGAATTTCAGAAAGGAACTTCAAGGAGTTCAAGGTGGACAGTGCCTCTTATGTCTAGACTGAGTTTTCTGTCTCTTGTTTTTACTTGCTGACCTTGACTGTGAATTGCTTAATCTCATCTGAGACAGGGAAACTGACCTATAGGTGCTGGCAAGGAGGGCTGTGAAAGTGAGGCTAGGTGCTCCAACCATGACCCAGGCCTCTGGGCATTCGGTGACCCCTGGATGAAACACTGATAGCTTTCAGCCTCTTTGCCACAGAATTTGTCGTTTAACCCCTTAACAGTGATCAAGAATCTTTATTTATGGATTCAGTGATTTTTATAGAACAATTCCCAACTTTATGTTTTAATTAAGGAAAAAAGTTATTTCTTTTGGCAAAAAAAGAAACAAAAAGGAAGTAATTCAAAGTAATCAGTTGTTTTTGTTTTTGTTTTTTCTTAAAAACCTGGAAATATTTTTAGCAGTTAATCAACATAAGCTCACCATAGTTTGATTTGATTTGTCCTCTAAGTTCAAAGAAATAAAATAAAAGCTAGGAAGATTACCTGAAAAACATGTGTGTGTTTTTTTATTGAGATACAGCTCACATATAACATATTAGTTTCAGGTTTTGATATATGTGTATATAAGGATTTGATATGTGTGTATACTGTGAAACGATCACCACAGTGAGTTTGGAAAACATCTGTCACCTCACATAGTTCAATTGTTTTCTTATGATAGAAACTTTTAAGATCTACTCTCTTAACAACTTTAAAATATACAATACAACATTGTTAACTATAGTCACCAGGGTGCTCATTACATCCCCAGGACTTACTTATCTAGTAACTGGAAATTTGTACCTTTTGACTACCTTCACCCATTTTTGCCTGCCTCCCACTCCTTGCTTCTGGCAACCACCAACCAGTTCTCTGTACCTATGAGTTTCTTTTTTTTTAGGTTCCACATCTAAGTGCAATCATGCAGTGTTTGTCTTTCTCTGACTTACTTCATTTAGCGTAACACCCTTAAGACCTAGCTCTGTTGTCACAAATGACAGGATTTTCTTTTTCAATAAAAAAAGGAATAATAAGCTTTACATAGACACATGTATACACACACACACTCACACCACATTCTCTTTATCCGTTTACCTGTTGAGAGGCATTTACATGTTGTTTACACATCTCAGCTGTTGTAAAGAAAGCTGCAGTGAACATGGGAGTGCACATATCCTTTTGAGATCAGTTTCATTCTTTTGCATGTGATTGTCCAGTTTTCCTAACATCACTTATTGAAGAGACTGTCCTTCCCCATTATGTATTCTTGGTTCCTTTGTTATAATTATTTGACCATATATGTGTGGGTTTATTTCTGGCTTTCTATTTTTGTTCCACTAATCTCTGTGTCTTTATTTATGCCAGTGCCATACTGTTTTGATTCCCATAGCTTTGTAATACAGTTTGAAACAAGTAAGTATGCCCCCAGCTCTGTTCTCAAGATTGCTCTGGCTTTTTGAGTCTTTTGTGGTCCCATACAAATTTTATGATTATTTGTTGTTTTCTGTAACAAATACAGTTGTAATTTTGGTAGGGATTGGGAGCACTATAGACATTTTAATAATATTAATTATTCCAATCTGTGAGTGTGCAGTATCTTTCCATTTATGTGTGGCAATGTCTAAGTTAAACACACTGTTATCATGGAATCCAACAATTGTTCTCATTGATGTTTACCCAAATGAGCTAAAAGCTTGCATCTACACAAGCACCTGCACACAGATATTTATAACATTTTATTCATAATTGCCAAAATTTGGAAGCAACCAAGATGTCCTTTGGTAGGTGAATAAACTGTGATGTATCCAGACAATGGAAGTTATTCAACAGTAGAAAGAATGAGCTTTCAAGCTACAAAAAGGCACGGGGGCACCTTAAATGCATATTGCTGAGTGGAAGAAGCCAATCTGAGGAGGCTAAACATTGTATGATTCTGACTATATGACATTATAGAGAAGACAAAACTACAGAGAAAGTAAAATGATCAGTGGTTGCCAGGGGTTTGCAGGCATGGATGAACAGATGGAGCTCCAGGAATTTTTAGGGCAGTGAAACTATCCTGTATAATACTGTAATGGTGGATACACGTCATTATATGTCAAAACCTATAGAATTGTACAATACAATGAGTGAACTCCTGTGTAAACTGTGGACTTCCGTTAATAATAATTTGTCAGTATTAGTTTGTCAGCAGTTCCAAATGCACCACCCTAAAGCAGGATGTTAATAATAAGGGAAATTTGTGTGCAGGGGAGGGGTGAAGATGGGAGGGCAGAGAGGGAGAGAGTTCCCTGTATATTCTACTCAGTTCCTCTGAAAATCTAAAATTGCTCTAAAAAATAAAGTACCTAAATTTTAAAAAGTTAATGTCTTATGTAAAATTTAAGTGCACATACTTTTATACAGAATCCATTATTTTACAAAGAAGTAAATTAATGCAAATCTCAGTTTATGTTATTCAAGTATTAAAATAATGTTTACCAGATCTGTGACATTTGTAGTCACCATCTGATTTGTTATCTGAATAGATTTTTTTTTAACTTCATAGCTTTTTTTGAGGCTTTGGTGGGTAGGGGTCAGAGTTAGTACAATATCTTTTCTTGCTCAACTATTAAGAGTGTTATACTGAGCATAATTTTTTTTTGAGCATAAGTTTTTAACTTAAAAGTTTTAATGCTTGTCATGGAGTAAATAAAATTGCTTGTTTATTGCATAGTTCAGAAAAACCTCAGGCTTACTAAAGAGAATTCCTTTCTTTCCTTTGTAGATCGCTTTCCAATGTTCTGGAGCTGTCATTGCCAGACATGAAAATGCCTATTTTAAGAATAATAGTATTACTGTTATACACAAGCTTTGGATTATTTGTTTCCCACAGAAGTACTGTGTGGGGGGGCAAATTATTGGCATTTTGAGGTCAAAATCAAATCTGAAAGTCAGGGCTTACTGTAAATAGAGGAATGGAGGGGAGAAAATGAGAAATGTATATCTAACTATTTTCAACAGGTAAATATAAAGACTTTTAGAACATGTATCTATCAAAACACATTTCATTACATTTACCTAGAGAAAATTCAAGCACTTCCTAAAAGGAATGGTGCTCTGTAATTTAGCTTCTGAACATATTGTAGGTATAAAGAAAGTGTATTTGGGAAATTAAATTAATCTATTTAAATATATCCCATAATATAAATGCTTCCTTTTTATTAAAACCAGATGAGATGAAATAAAAGTCTTTGGGAACTTTACCTCATTTTTGACAATATGATGATGAGTAACATTTCATGTAACATCTAATACTTTACTTCTCTAACTCGGCAAAATGAAAGGAATTAGGATAGACAACTAAGGTTATATTGTATAAAAATAATTTTTAAGAAATTCTCCAGTGATGTTTATTATGTATAAAGTATACTTTTAGTTGGAACTGGTTCACTGATATTCTGTGGTTCATTTCCAGGTCCTTCAGCAGCTTTTAAATCATTGCAGGAAAAACAAAGATAAAGTTCTTCTTTTCTCCTTTTCCACCAAGGTGAGTCTCACGTGAAGTGTGTTCTTGATGGCCCAGCCCTGACTCCTGAGGTATAAAGCCTAAGACACATGACAGCCTCCAGCCACATTTTTTTGTCTTAAACATGCTGTGTAGGAAATGGTAGTGAGGTAAGCAGCTTTTAAAACAGATGCTTAAATCTCAGTTATATCAGGGTAACTGTTAATAGTAAACTCAAAGAATAGATTTTTAAATCTCTGTTGATGTTTGTTTTTAATTAAAATGTTCTCTAGGCATTTAAGAGATTTTAAAATATGGAAAACAGGACAAATAATGAAATATATTTATGAATGATTTGCCAATAATTTTTGTTCGGGTTTAGTAAAAAAAAATTGAAGGATCTTAAAATTCAGTTTTTTAAAAACAAAGTTTACTGAATGTTAAAGTCAGTTGCAGGATAGTGGGAAGAAATACATGAATGGGTTGGAAGTCAGAGAAATACCTGTTGCTCTTGTAATTAAAAGAAAGGCTGTGAGCAGCAGTACCTAACACTCAATAAATGCCGCCTCTCTACCTGTACGAGAACCGTGACGTTGCCCCCGCGCCCTCTGTGCCTCTCCTCCAGGTGCTCGATGTGTTGCAGCAGTATTGTATGGCATCTGGGCTTGATTACCGGCGGCTCGATGGAAGTACAAAGTCAGAGGAAAGGCTCAGGATCGTGAAAGAGTTCAACAGAACGCAAGATGTTAACATTTGCCTTGTCTCCACAATGTAAGAAAATAAAATGTGATAACTTGATTTTTATTTAACTGCTTTCAAGATATGGGGTAATTTTTAAACTATTACGGGATTAATTTTCAGTGGTTATGCTTATATTGCTTTGTTTTATTTGGCTTTAAGGAGAATCAGGAAGAATTAATTAATTATGACTGAAATAACAGTGTCTTGAGTTTTACCTAACCTTTCCTCTTAATTCTGTTCTCTCTGAATTCTCCTTATATGTATGGGTTTATAAAGATAACAATCCAAAAAAGGACGTTTCCTCCTAGGAATTTTCTGTGGTAGTGTTTTGACTCAGGTCTTGTGGTCAGAATGATTAGACTCAATTGAATTATCAGGTTATTAATTGAATAACTGAGAATCATTGTAGCAATGGTTTTCAGACTTTACTCAAGGAGCCCTAGGGAGACCGCTGTGCCTGGTGGGCTGGGCATTTACCTCCTCCATCTCTGTCTGGTCTCAACCTGAGCAGCTCCATATTTATAGGTTTTACAAAAGTTACATCAGTTCTAACACCTATTTATGAATCTCTCATTAAAACCTTTTAAAGCATGTGCATACTTTAAGAAAGATTTAAGTCAATCATGACTTCTTACTCAGGGTTTTTTTTGTCTTTTATAATAATAATTTTCAATATATTACTAATTCATACTTACACTTTCTCCTCCATTAAACCCTCTGTATCCTGAAGAACCTCCTTCTAAAGGCTTCTGTACTCTTTTCAATCTGGACTGGCTGTTCTCTAGACCTGATAGCGAACTGCTATCTTTAAGTCTTCTTTCACTTTTCTGAGATCCATTTTTCCCAGATTTCATACCATCTTTATTCTTGGTTTGCCCCTTGTTTTACTGGAGAATATCTTCAGGTAATTTTGTAAGCCAGGACATGCAGAAAGTTTCTTTGAATATCAGAAAATGTGTTCTGTTTGCCCTCTCGCTCAGTTGCTACTTTGGCCAACTATAGAATTCTAGATTGGAAGTAATCTCCTCTTATATCTTTGATGGTATCAAAGCATTGTTTTCTGGAATTTGATATTGGTGAATAGATGTCTAATGCCTATCTGATTTTCATTCCTCTTTGGGAATTCACAAGAGGATCTCTTCATCTGCCGTATGCTGAAGTTTTGCAGTGATATTTGAGTCTTGATGTGGGTATTTATTCATTTATTGTGCTGGGCAGTCTCAAGGCTTGCAGTCTTCTTCAACTCTAGAAAGTCCTCTTTGGTTAGTTCTTTGACAAGGGCTTCCCTTCCATTTTCTCCAGTATGTCTCTCTTGCATGCTGGGTTGTCAGATTTTAGAGTTCCTATATTGATTCTTTAAATCTCTGAACTTTTTTTTCATATTTTACCTTTTTATCCTTTTGTTCTATATTGTGAAAAATGTCATTTTCCACTCTTATTATTTTACTTGAAATAATTTTTAGTCTAAAATTATTCTTGCTTTCTAAGCTCTTTGGTCTCTGAATTATCTTTCTTCTGGAACATTAACACCTTAAAGTTTAGACTTCCATAATCATCTTATTCAGTTAATTAAAGAAGGGTTAGCTGGAATTTTTTCTTGGGTTGAAATTTTTACTGGACTCCTTGAATTTATAAATGACATTGAGAAAAGTTGGAATTTTTATGATATTGAGCCTTTCTATCCATGGACATTTATTAAGTTTCCTTAGAAGCATTCTTTAAATGAATACTTCATTTGACTCTTTATAGCAGTTAACACATAACAATAAACAGTTTTTTGAAGGCATCTTTTTTGGAACATTAAGATATGGTTAAAGTAGACTTTTGCTGTATTTATTTGACACAAGAATGAAATGTGGAGGACATAGGAATGAAAAGACTGTATGCTCATTTTGGTTCTGTCTCAAATACCAGTCCTCACTTTGAAAAGGGCTATATTTTATTTTATTGCTTAAGTTGTAAGCTTTTGTTTTAGCCATATGAGAACAGGGTAACAGGTTTGAATGTTTAAGATTCTGAGTTACATTATCATCAAACAGAGAATCATCTTTTTCAGATTATCAATTTCCTCATTTGTAAAATGAAGATGATAGCTTATAGAGCTGTCTTGGAAATGAAATATTAGGATATATGGAAATAATTTAAGTAGGTGCTCAATAAATGTTAATTTCTATTTTGATAGAAACAGTAGAATATTAACTTCTCTCCCTGAGTGATTAGCAGCTGGTGTAAAGCATTATCTAAATGTGAGTTGAGTTATGTGATAGTCTAGGCATTTGAAAAGGGAAACTCGGAAAGATAAAGTCTCAGAGAAAGGCTTTGGAACTTTATTGGAATGTGTTGAAGAAAACAAAATCATTTATTCTTGGATTCTGATTTTGCCTTCCTTTTAAAAAATACAAAAAATCATTAGATCATATAATAATTATTAAATATAGGAAATTCAAAACATGGGAAAATAACACTTACCATTAGGTAAAATATAATAAGCTATACAGGAAGTTGATATTGTTAACTCAGTAGATAAACATCATATACATTCAGTTTTGCTAAAAGAATATCTTTAGAAAAAATATCTTTAGAAGTAACTTCATTCCAAAAGGAATTAGCAGTATTCTAATATGTTTGGTTGATAGAAAAATATATCTAGCAAAGCCATTGATTCATGTTAATAAAAAAATGCCCAAAATATATTTCTTTGGGTAACTTCTGTTCACTGAATATTCACAGGTCATTCACCTGTTCACAGATGAAGTTAAAATGAAGATAAAACTTTTGGCTTTCTATCTAAGTGGCAAAAAGATGACCTATAGCATGATTATTAGACACAACTTCATTCTTCATGACACTCAGAATCACACACTGATTGACTTAGAAACAGCTTTCTAAGCAAAATGTGTAACTTGAACTGTAATGCCTTTTTTTTTTTTTTTGGTATCATTAATCTACAATTACAGAAAGAACATTATGTTTACTAGGTTCCCCCGTTCACCAAGTCCCCCCCATATACCCCTTCATAGTCACTGTCTGTCTGCGTAGTAAGATGCTGTAAAATCACTACTTGTCTTCTCTGTGTTGCGCAGCCCTCCCCGTGTCCCCCAGGCACTATACATGCTAATCGTAATGCTCTCTTTCTTTTTCCCCGCTTTTATCCCTCCCTTCCCACCCATCATCCCCAGTCCCTTTCCCTTTGGTAACTATTAGTCCATTCTTGGGTTCTGTGATTCTGCTGCTGTTTTGTTCCTTCAGTTTTCCTTTGTTCTTATACTCCACAGATGAGTGAAATCATTTGGTACTTGTCCTTCTCCACCTGGCTTATTTCACTGAGCATAATACCCATAGCTCCATCCATGTTCTTGCGAATGGTAGGATCTGTTTTCTTCTTATGGCTGAGTAATATTCTATTATGTATATGTACCACATCTTCTTTATCCATTCATCTACTGATGGACATTTAGGTTGCTTCCATATCTTGGCTATTGTAAACAGTGCAGTGATAAACATAGGGGTGCATCTGTCTTTTTCAAACTGGANTGGTTTTAATTTGCATTTCTCTGATGATTAGCGATGTGGGGCATCTTTTCATGTGCCTGTTGGCCATCTGGATTTCTTCTTTAGAGAACTGTCTATTCAGCTCCTCTGCCCATTTTTTAATTGGATTATTTGCTTTTTGTTTGTTGAGGCGTGTGAGCTCTTTATATATTTTGGATGTCAATCCTTTATCGGATCTGTCATTTATGAATATGTTCTCCCATACTGTAGGATACCTTTTTTGAACTGTAATGCTTTTGTAATTATTCTCTGATAATATTAAGCTAAGGATTTAGGGTACTGTACTCCAAAAGTCAATTTTTCCAGATGATATAGGCACCTCTAAATATTCCAGTACCATGAATCATAGTCTGAAAGGCCCTTAAGAAAAACCATTTTGTATTTATCTTACCCTTAGTCCAGAAAACTGTATCTTAATTTACTCAGAAAGATGAGGGTATTTCTTTTGTTATACGCCCCAAGAGAGATTCTAAACCACTCTTCAAATAAGCCATTAGAATCTTATACCTATTATTAAAATCTGCCTGTACTGATTTATTTTATTATGTTGTCTAACCAATCTCGCACTATTTTATTCAACTCAGTTGCTTTCATTGACCCTTAATGTGAGATAAAAAGAACAAGAATTTTTTTTTTTTTGCCATTGTGGGGTTTATAATACAATAAATGCTTTACTGCAGTTATGCTTAAAGTTCCATGAGCGTTTAAAGAATAGATATCAAGAAAGATAGAAGGCTTGTGATGTTTAAACTGACCCTTTATAGATATAAGAAGGAAAAGTAAAAACCAGTTTATGTAAAGGGGTTTTTAAGGAGAGAGTACAGCATAGGTACAAAAACGAGTGGAGAATTTACATGGCTAGAACTTAACATACATGGAGGGAAAAGCTCGATATATGACTAGGAGGAATCACTAGTTAACTTAAAGAGATAGTGAACATTCTGTGACAGATCCTAGAAAAGAAAAGATGTAAAAGATTAAGCCCCAGCTTTTAAAGTTTATAACTAAAAAAGTAGGACAGAGCGAAGAGTTGTTACAAAATATGTAAAAGGATGGTTTCAAAACAGTATAGTAAATGCAGAGTAGAAGGAAGCAAAGGGGAAGGATATTTAGTCCATGTTTCATGAGTGATGCTTAAAGGATAAGTAGAAATTAGGCAAAGAAGTGAGCAAAGAAAACTACCAACAGTGTATGAAGGCATCTTAAGTATATTGGTAGTTCTATATGATCAAGTCCAAGAATATAGCTGCAGAGGTGGTAGGCCTCATTATTGAGGCCTGGAGGGTTGGTCTCTGATAGGTAAGGATTGAGAGATTGTAAACAGAGGAATGGATTATGTAGTTTTTTATATTCTGTGCTTAAAATAATTTTTTATAATATGAAAATGGATTTAAGATCTGAGGTAAGGGAATACAGGAAGCCAGTGGAGTAACACATATGGGAATGATATAATAAGGGCTTGGAGTAGGGCAGTGGAAGTAGGAATGGGGAAGGGTCACATGAGAAAAACGTCTTTGAGGTAAATTTGACAAGACTTGATATTGGTTGGCTTTTTAGTTGTTCATTTTCCCTTTACATCTGTCAGCTGCAAGTTCCCTTAGTTTTCCTTAATCTGAGAATGTCATGATTTCCTTTTCATTCCTGAAGGCTACTTTTGCTGGATATAGAATTCTAGATCAACAGTTCAGCACTTGAAAAATATACTACTTCCTTCTGGCCTCCATGGTTTCTGATGAGAAATCCACTGTCATTTAAATTGGTGTTCCATTAAAAGCAGTATGTCATTTTTGTCTGCCTGCTTTCAAGACTTTGTCTTTTGTTTTCAGAAGTTTACTTATGATGCGCCTAGGCATGGATTTCTTTTGAGTTTATCCTTTTTGGAGATCACACAACTTTTTGACTCTGTCAGTGTATGTCTTCCCAGATTTGGGAAGTTTTCAGCCATATTTCTTGAAATACTTTTACAGTTTCACCCTCTGTTTTCTCCTGAGACTATAATTATATGAGTATTAGCTCTTTTGTTATTGTCCCTCAGTCTCTAAGACGCTGTTCATTTCTTTTTCAGTACAGTCTCTTTGTGTTCTTTAGATAGACTAAAAAATATTCACCTGTTCTTGTGTTTACTCATTCTGTACTCTGTCATCTCCACTGTACTACTACTGAGTCCATCCAGCGAGTTTTGTAACTCTAGTTATTTTTCAGTTCTAAAAATTTCATTTGGTTCTTCTTTATATCCTCTTTGCTGAGACTTTCTGTTTTTAGTTGTTTCAAGAGTATTTGTAATTGCTTTTTTGGAGCATTTTTATTATGGCTGCATTACAATTCCTGTCAGGTGATTCCAGCATCTGACTCATTGCAGTGTTACTGTCTCATGGTTTTCTCAGTCAGGTTGAGATTTTTCTAGATGGTGGTATGACTAGTAATTTTTACTGTATGCTAGACATTTGGATATTATATTATGATTCTCTCTGTATTTTTAAATATGTTTTATTGTGCCAGCCATGCAGAGGTGGAAATCTACATTTCTTACTTGGTCTCTGTTGATACCTGAGAATGAGGTGCTTCATCACTGTTTCTGCATGGCCTCCACACACTGTACAGAGGGGACTTGGTTATAGCTGAGCAGAAATGAAAGTCCCAGCTCCTCAATCAGTTTTCTCTGACCCCACCTGGGTTGTATTGAAAAGCACTGCATTATAGTCAGGCAAAAGCAGAAATCTATTTTCCTCATTCATCCTTTGTTGACCAGGTAAGGGATGGGGCCACAGGTTTTTTCCGTGGTATTTGCAAGTGTATGTTGGTTATTATCTAACGTTTTTCTGTTTAAAACGCTAAACCTTTCCTGGTTCTCTGACTAAAGGAAGATGACTTTTCTTGGGGCTTTTTTGCCTGTGGCTGTTGGCATTTCCAGTTCTCTGGCTTCTCCAGACCCAGTGTGGGATATATTAGGCAAAAAGAAAGCCAGAGAACTCACTGCCTTACCATTCCTTAAGGTGGTAGTCCCTATCCAATTGGCATTCTCTGCCTTTCAGAGTCTTACGTTTATTTTATGTGTGACGTCCAGGGTTTTATTGACACTTGGAGGGATAAGGAAAAGCTTTTCTACTCCTGGACTGATTTTTTAAAAATGTGTTTATTACTTCATTTAGCTGGAATATACAGTTTTTTTAAAATTATGTTAGGAGAATCTTAAGGTATTTGAGTATCCAAAAAATGTAAAAACCAACACAATCTATTTAAATGGGCTCTAAATGTCATATTTTTAGGGATAGAGTGGTAGAAAAACAGTATTCTATAACTCTTTCATTTGTGGCATATTTTATTTTAATCACCTTTTATGATGTTAATGTAATATTATGTTGAATTGATTTGTTTATGGCTCAGTTGTGTCAAATTGAGTTACAGAGCAACATTTATGTTTGTTGTTTTAATGTGCTCTTTTCTGTTCCTTTAGGGCTGGTGGACTAGGCCTCAATTTTGTTGGTGCCAATGTTGTTGTATTATTTGACCCTACTTGGAATCCGGCCAATGATCTTCAAGCCATTGACAGGTATAATACAAACTTTAAAGTGACCTGCAAATATTTTTAATCTAAAAATGCTCCAGAACACTTTAGGTTGCTTATGATATGATTGTGATTAGAAAATAGGGAAAAAACTTCTAATTAAGATAACCTTGAACTAACAAATCTAAATGGTAGAACAGTCATAGCCTTTATTTTCCATCCATCTCAAAATCCCATTCTTATAGCAGAATTGATTTAGGAAGAAAGAATAAACCCATAATACTGCAGGAAATTAGAAAAGGTCATTATTAGTAGATCAGAAATTTTGAGAAACTCCTAGAAGACAGAAGGCAAAGAGAGTCTGTATGATCAAGAAACCAGCAGAGAAAAGCCACAATCCAAACTTAGCAGAAGAGCAAAGGAAAACTCCAAGCATAGGGTCAGCAACCACAGGATATGTGGGAGCAAAGCAGAGTGCATCCTGCTGGAAAATTAATTAATGTTTTAACACTAAAACACATTCCTCTTCCATTTCCCCTTAATGGGTGCTCCTTGATCAAAGCTTAAAGTATCATTTCATAAATTTTATAAGTGGGGAATCTGACTGCTAAAAAGTTTCTACACTGGGCATTAGGACTGGAGCATAAAGTATGGCTAAATCTAAAGTAGTCTCCCCAAGCACAAAAATGGGGAAACAATTACTAGACCCGTGTACCTGTGTGGAAACCCAGGCCAGCTTTCCTATACAATCCACCCAGTTCCTCTTTTGTAATTATGAATGGAAAATTAAGAATTAAGAGATATTTTAATAAAACTAGCAGTGTGAAAGAAAGGTGAAAAACAGACCCTGAAAGAAATAAAATAAGATAGGATACCATGAAAAAAAGTGCAGAGAAAACTCAGAAATTCTTAGAAATTAAAACTACTACCAAAATAATTCAGTAGGTCTGAATAATAAAATAGAGAGGATTAAAAGTGGAAATGTATATGGAAATAAAAGGAATGACTATTTTAGGACACAAATAATGGTTGGGTGGGAGATAAAACATACGTAGACACATCTTGATATTTCTAAGTTCCAAAGAGAAAGAAAAAGGTGAAAAGATGCCAGAATGAGTAAGAGGGAAAGAAAATTATTTATAAAACAAAGACAAAGAGAGCAAAACAGATTACAACAAAGAAATGAGAATCACATTCATTACAGCATAGGAGAAAATATTTGCGAATCACATTTGTGGTAAGGAATTAATATCTAGAATATATTTTTAAAAAATCCTAAAACTCAACAACCAAAAAATAACAACCCAGCTCAAAAATGGAGAAAGGACTTGAATGGACATTTATTCCAAAAAGATAGAAAATGGCCATTAAGCACTTGAAAAGATGCTCAACATGACTAATCATTAGGGAAATGCAAAGCAAAACTAAAAAGAAATATCACTTCACACCCATTAGGGTGACTACTATTAAAAAATAGAAAACAGAAGTCATGGTGAGGATATGGAAAAATTGGAACTCTTGTGCATTGCTGGTGGAAATTATAAAACGGTGTAGCTACTGTGGAAAACAATATGGTGGTTTTCAGAAAATTAACCATAAAATTGCCATATCCTCCCACAATCCCACCTCTGGGTATACACCAAAGAATTGAAAGCAGAAACTCAGAGAGATTTGCACACCTGTGTTCAAAGTACTCAGCCTTAAAAAGGAATTAAATTGTTTTTTTCTTTCAGTTTTATTGAGCTGTAATGGGCATAGAGCAATGTATAAATGTAAGGTATACAATGTAATGACTTGAATTACTTCTATTAGGAAATGATCATCATAGTAAGTCTAGTTAACATCCATCATCTCATAGATACAAAAAATAAGAAATGAAATTCTGATATGTGCTACATCATGGATGAACCTTTAAGACATTGTGCTAATTGAAATAAGATACAGAAAGACAGAGATTTTATGATTCCACTTATATGAAGTATCTGGAATAGCCAAATTCATAGAGATAGAAAGTACAATGGTGGTTTACAAGGGGCCAGGAAGAGGTGGGGAATGGGGAGTCACTGTTTAATGGGTACAGAGCTTTAGTTTGTTATGAGGACAAAGTTAAAGAGATGAAGGTCATGTTTACAAAACATTGTGAAGTTTCTTAATGCCACTGAACTATACATTTAAAAATGGTTAAATGGTAAATCTTATGTATATTTTACCACAATTTTTAAAAAACCACCCAAGGCAATTACGACAAAATTGATCTTCAAGTCTACTTTGAGAAATCAGATATAAAACATCCAAACAGAACTTCCAAAAGAAATTTTAAAAGTGCACTGAGAAAATGTAATTATTTTAGTAAATGATAGGAAATATGAGTATATAGGGAGAGGTGGAAGAAAGAATAATGGAAAATACAAAAGATAACATAAACTGTCAGAAATAAGGCAAAATAAAAATATGAGTGAGTTAAAATTCCCTTTTAAAAAAAAGAAAGTAAAAAGGAAAAATGAGATTGAGGATTATTCCAATTATTATATATATATAAATATATATAATTTTAAAAAGCAAAAGAAGAGTGACAATATTAATAACAATCAAAATATTAATATAATTCAAGGCAAAACCATTAAGGAAAGCAAAATTGGGATACAAGCCATGAGGAAAGTGTAATAGTCACTATATAACAAAGCCAGAACTCTTATAATATGATGGGAGGTGGACAGATCCACAGTAATGGTGGAAAACTTATTATATCTCTCTCAAAAAAATTAATAGATTAAGTAGGCAAAGAGGAAGTACATAAATTATTTGAATAAGTTATCTAGCTTAATTGAATAAATATGTAAAACCAGGTAACAACTGGGAATACCCAATCTTTCAAATGTTTGTAGACCATATTTTTAAATGACTATATGTTTTAATAGAAATCACAAAGACTAGATTCCATGGCTCCAATCCAAAAAAACCCTAGAAAATAGCAATAAATGTGTAACTGATAAAAACCTAGCCATATGGACACTATATAATATTTTTAACTTAATGTTAAAATCTACAGTAACCAAGTGAATTCCCAATCAAGAAGAAGCTATATTCAAAATGGCAGGAAATTTTGTAGCCTTTCTACTCATCCTTGCCTCACCCTCTAGTGCAGCACAGCCAGGAGGAAGCAGCCAATTCCATTTCCTCCTACAGTCGGGAAGGAGCAGTGTAGAACTTTTGCACCTTTCTTAACTGTGGGCTGACAGAGGGACTGGTTTCTGTTTCACCTGACTCAGTGCTTAGGTGAGGATGGTATAGCTCAAATCTCAAGACTGGCAAAAGCTATGGAAGACAGTGGGAAAGCTTCATGGCATGAAAGTTGCAGTGGGACCATGCACCTGCAGACACATGGATATGAGATTATGGGTAGAGGAATACAATATAATATTAAGGCCCTGAGAACCTGAGGTAAGATTCTTTGGGAATTTGAGACATCTAAAAGCATTTGTATATACAGGGGAAATCTTACACACACACACACACATGCACACACACACACACACATGCATGACACATAACCAGAAATGACCTAAGAAGATTTTAAGCTTAAGCTGCTCCCAAGGCTCAAGAGACACCTGGCTAATTAGTGAATATTTTCCATACCAGTCTGCAAAGACTGGGAGAAGTGGCTCTCTTATCAAATGGCCAGTTTCCAACAAGAAAAATAAAGCATCCAAAGAAAATAGCCCACTTCAAGGAACAAAATAAATCTCTAGAAACCATGCCTAAAGAAATATAGGCATAGGACTTACTAAACAAAGACTTCAAAACAACTCTTCTAACTCTTAAGAGCTGAATGAAACATAAACAAAGAACTAAAGGAAATCAGAAACCCAATATAAGAACAAAATGAGAATATCAACAAAGAGGTAGAAATTATTCTTAAAAAAACAGGAACTCTGGACTTGAAAAATACAATAACTGAATTGAAAAAGCACCACAGTGTTCAACAGAACAGACAGAAGAAAAGAGCCAACGGACTTGAAGACAGATCTGAAGACCAAAAAGAAAAATGGTGAAGAAAAATGAACGTAGCCTAAGAAACCAATGGGACTTATCAAATAGGTGCATTATAGGTATTCCAAAAGGAGAGGGAAAAGGACGGAAGTTCTTTGAATAATGACTGAAATAATAAGATTGCAAATTTGAGGAATGACATGGGTAAACAAAAGAAGCTCAACAAACTCTAGATAGGATACACCTAAAGAGACCCACACCAAGACATATTATCAAACTGTCGAAAGTCAAAGACAAGGTAATCTTTAAAGTAGCAAGAAAAAATTGACTTGTAATATATAGGGGATCTCCAGTATAATTATCAGTGGGTTTCTCAGCAGAAACCTTACAGGCCAGAAGGCAGTGGGATGATATATTTAAAGCACCAAAATAAAAAACCATCAAATGAGAATTCTGTATCAGGCAAAACTGTCCTTCAAAAATAAGAGAGGAATTAAGACATCCCCAGAATCACAAGCTGAAGGAGTTATTACCATAGACATGCCCTACAAGAAATCCTAGAGAGAGACTTTCAAGTTCAAATGAAAGAACTCTTAACAGTAACTGAAAGCCATATGAAAATATAAACTTCTTCAGTATAGGCAAGTGCATGGACAAATACAAAAAAAACAGTATTATTGTGATTTTGGTTTATAATTCTACTTTTTATTTTCTACATGATTTAAAAGACAAATTATAAATCTGTGTTAAAGGATACATGACATAACAATATAATTTCTGACATCAGTAGTATGAAAGTGGGGGAAAGAGCTGTAAAGTAGGTTTTTTTAGTCCAATTGAAATTAAGTTGATATCAATTTAAGATAGATTGTTATAACTTTTGGGTATTATATTTAATCTTCATGGTAACCACAAAGAAAATACCTATAGACTACATACAAAAGGAAATGAAAAAGGAATCAAAATGTGTCTTTTAAAAATCACATAATGCAAAGGGAGGCAGTAATGGAGGAAATGAGGGACAAAATAGTTATGAGACATACAGAAAACAAAAT